AAGCCTATACCGCATAGTTAGCTATAAAAGGCCCCGAAATGACAAATGTAAAACAGTTCAAACGAGAAAACTAACGGCCTTATGTACAAACTAATGAACGAAAAACAAATATGTAACACAGCAACAAACGACTACCACTGAATTACATGATCCTGACTTGGGACATGCACATACAGAATGGGGCGGGGTAAAACTAATTTGAAGACCATGCCTTCCCACAACCTATGACGTTCATCAATCTGTAAGTCATCGTGTATTTTGTCACAAAGGAAGACAGGTATTAGAACGTTTCTTTTCTATATGTATCTTATATTACATGAGTATAAATCATTATGTGTAATGGTGTCCACATAGAATAGTTGCGCTACTTCAAAGGTTGAGCAAAAACATTAAATTGGAAAGGCAAAGACTTATGTTTGGTAAACATATATTTCGCATACAAAAAGACTTTCATTCGTGTAAATTCATTTGCAATAAAAAAAAATATATATATATATAACATGTATAAGTAGATGTGGTAGAATTGCCAATAATACAACTCTTCACCAGAGACTAGTGTTTTGTAAACAACAACACCAAATGCACTATATTTGTCAGAGGAGGGCTACTTGTACATATTGCAACCTTTATGCGTGTATAAAATATTTATTATTGCAAGCTCCGAACCTGCAATTTTAAAATAACAGTTTTAAATTTGTCTTTCATTTACTTACTACGAAAATCTTCTCCAAGGACTTTAAAATCTGTGTCAAGTTTCTTTATCTTTTGACCCATAGTATTGAGAGTTCCTTTAAATATGTCAAGTGTCTTTTTATTGTCGTTTTCAAATTTTGTTCCAATGACTTTTAAATCAGTGTCAAGTTTCTTTATTTTTTGGCCCATGGTGTTAAGAGTGTCTTTAAATATGCCAAGTATCTTTTTATTGTCTGCTTCGAGTTTTTTGGTAACTTTTCCAATATTTTCCTGGACATCAGTCAAGGCTTTTCTTGATTTGTCAAAGTCTTCCTTAGACTCATTAGAAAGACACGTTGTACCAGAGGCATGCTTGATTATCACCACCAGCAAAGAAAATTGAACTACGAACAACATAGTTTAGAACAAACTACAAAAGAACATTATCATGTATGTATATTGATTTTAACTTAAACAAAGAAATGCTTTGATAATTATTTATCTATTTTATGATAGGCATAAAAGTTTAAAGAGGACAATAATTATTTTAATTTTCTAAACTGTTAGCACCAGTTACAGGTTCCATCGTTATATATCCAATCATGCATTGGCGACATACTCAGTCGGAATGTCTTGTAGCTTGGTTTATTTTCCTGCAAAACTAGCAACTTGATTATGAAGAATTATTCATTTATACAACACGTATAAACAGGATATATGAGGAAAGATGAAAAAATAATATAGTTGAAAAACTGAAACATAGAATACCGGTATACTCAATTCAGATAGCTACACAACAAAAGGCATTTAGAGGATAACACACAATTGGGCGAAAATACATTATGTAAACCTCTAAATCGTTAACCAAAGCTAAATTCATATGTTGTGGGTTCAAAATCTCAAACCTCTCCCATATTTTATTTTCAATCAGGGGACTAACATAACGCATAAAACCACACTGTAAAAAATTAGAACAGGAAACGTCGCTTTCTAAAATAACAGTGTAATAGATAAAAAAAAACACAAGGGGAAACAATTTTAGCCACCTATGTAAGACCTATCAAAAAATGAAAACAACACGATATAAATTGCATGCGTCCGAAGCGCTTTTCTGGATTTCCCTTCATCAGGAACGCTCAAAGCCGAATATTTGAAAGCCAGGGATGTATAAGGACCGAAACCGTTGAAGAGCTATAAACCAAAAAGGACCTAAAAATAGCAAAATCCATCAAAGGGCAACTTTGCCTGATTTCTCAATTCATCACATAGAATAGAAAGTCATTTATTAGAATAGGATGGGGGTGATCTCAGGTGCTCCGGAAGGTTAAACAGATCCTTCTCCACTAGTGGCAGCATTCTTTGAAATAAAATATGAATTAAATCAACTCTTAGATGCATTCAGCCCACTGCTATAGAAAAGTTGTTTGTGTAACTGATCTGCAAATTTTACAATCCTATTCTGATAATTGACTTTCTACTGTATGAGATGAATTGAGAAATCAAATACATGTATCAAATTAGACCGCACACTAGCTGATATGAAAACTGTTTTCTTAATGACAATTAGAAATTAGTTTAACGTTTTTTCGGGGAGTATTAAACTTGGCTCTATTCGCGAAAAAAAATATTTGAATAATTTTGATAATGGCAGTTACAAGTTTAATTGATTTTATTTGAGGGAGATACCAAATTGATTCATCTCTACACGTGAAGTAAAGTATAACCAAGGTTGTTTTTCTTTTATATCATATATTCAAATCCAACTTTACACAGAAGTTTCCTTTTTCATAACACAAAATTGATTAAAAGTACATCGTATTGCACAAACAAAATAAAAATTTAGCTTATTTTTCAGATTATCTTATTAAACCTAATAAAACTTAATGTATCTGATAAATACAAGAATGTTTTCAAATTGTATTGCAAAACTCTTAGTTTTGTTTCTTGAGCTAAAATCTTCCGATTTCAGAATGTTTTCGAAACGTAAACCTAATATCTATATATGATAATAAACTGCGATTTCAAAATATGTACGACAGCTGAGACACGCTATTGCTGACCTTTAAAAAGGAGGAAGATATTTGTTTTAGTTTTTAGTATCATAATATAAAATTTGGTACTTACCTTGTATGCAGTTGTGAATGAAAGGAAAAGGATATCAATCATGATTTATACAGACATCAACAAAAGACATGGGTACATACAATATGGTAGGTCTAGATCGTCTAACAAAGCTATGAACAAATTTAACAAAGACTAAAAAACATCTACAATCAACACCAAAGTATCTAAACACAAAATAAAAAGACAAAAGATGGCAAAAGTTTTATTGTATTATTTCTAATGAAATATCGAAACTATGTTGACACTTCATTCATATATTTTTCCCTCCGCGGGATTCGAACTCCAGCTAAAGGAGAAGCGCCACAGAACAGTTCCTCGTCGGCTCAAACTTGATTTGTAACACAATATATAATTTTAGTAGCATGGAATTCTTATTGATACGTACTTAATAACATTAACTAATATTTGTCTTCCTTTGGTGGTCGAAGCAATGGGTATAAAAGTCTTTTGCATTATGAATACTTCCTATTGGATTAAATTTAACAAAATGGTGTCAGCCCTGGTGTTATGCATGGGAATGTCAAACGTAAAATACCAAAAAATGCCGTACTCCAAAGAAAATTCTAAACGGAAAGTCCCAAATCAAATGGCAAATCAAAGCTCAAACACATCAAACGAAAGGAAAACAACTGTCATATTCTTGACTTGGCACAGACATTTCCTTGTGTAGAAAATGTTGGATTAATCCTGGTTTTATAGCTAGCTAAACCACTCACTTGTATGACCTGCTTCTCCTCCACCATTGTCATCCATCGTGATGCTCATAATGACAAAAACTACAAAAATTGAGATTAAGCAACGATCGCTTTCAGCTAGGACCATAACCATACCGTATAGTAAGTTATAAAGATCCTTGACATGACAATATATCAAAAAACTAAAACTATTAAACAAACGGCGTGATTAATCCTTAAACAATTAACGAAAACAAATAGGATATACAGCATCCAACGACAACCACTGATTATAGGTCCTGGTGTAGGACAGACTTAATTAGAATGTGAAGATGTTAATCATGTTTGTGAGCGAACAAACCTCTCCTAACCTATCTCAAACATCACAAAATAAGAATCAGTTTAAAAAGACTTGTTTCATCAGCCATAGCTTAATAAATTATAAACAACATAGATTTCTCTGTCATTTGGTCTCTTGTGAAGAGTTGTCTCATTGGCAATCACACCACATCTTCTTATTTATACATAGAGGATCTTTTTGTGCAACCATTAATATGGCCATTTATGATATAGATATTTCTTAACGTCCAACCAAGCCGTGGTGGTTTTCGTAAATATTTCGACGAGATTACTCAAGCTTCATGTTTTAGAACCCTTGGTTTAATATATACCGTCTTATCAGCTATCTTCTACAAAGGAAATCGCTCTTGAATAACTGCGAGACAAAAATAAGTATACTTTTGTTTTGTACCGTGTTCATGTATGGCCAAACCATATCGCAGAAAGCAGTAATAAACGTTCAAAAATTTTATCTTTTTTAACCTTTTTGGCGAGTGAGCGCAGCAAACGAGCTAAAAAGTTCCACAGAGTATTAAGCGGCTGATATAAAACTGTATCAATACGTAGAAAATTCGATAATCTGTTTATCATGCTTTTTTCTTTTTATTGTGATGTCGCTGATAAGTTATGCTCAAAGCCGTGACATGAAAATTACGGAGCGACTGAGCAGGTTGATAAAGGTGAAGGGAAGGGCGATAATCAAGAATACAAAAAGACTTAAAAATTCATTGTGATATACGTTCTGCGTACAGTCTACAATAAATTAATCAGACACCTTAGCACTGAAAAACAATGCAGATAATGTTGTTAATTCATATTACTTCAATGTTTGGAAAATGCAAATAAATCATCAAAAAGCAAAATAAAACATCAATAAGGCATATACAACAAGTTAATCTTATTGACGAGTACAAAAAAGGATCATTCTCAAGTTGAAGATAACTGACAACTCCACTGGGAAAAAAATAATAACGACGAACAAACCAATAAAAGTGCACAAAAAAGCTACACAGTAAAATAAAACTTGAAAAACTTCTGTGCGTCTGAATGGTTACGACATAATTGATGATATTTTATATTGGTTCCTTGATATTATAGATTGATCTATTCCATCGGCCATTTCTTTAGCAAGTGAACAATCGACATTGTGAGAGTAGTATGGAGAATGAATTATTAAATAAAAAAAACAGCAACAATAACAAACATTTTATTGCCATATGATATAATTGTGAACAAAGAAATGTTGTTTTATTTCTTGGAAAATCTGAAAAAGCCAGGAATGAACATAAAAGCTTTTTGAATTAATTTTGAAATCAAAACTTTACAAACATCAATGAAAACATGACATTTCATCTGAAATGGAACCCACTTAAGTGGCTTCTGTGCCTTAAGTGTTGGTTCCATTTCATAAACGATCTCTAGAAATATATTTCCCTGTACATTAAATGTAGCAAGACTGTGCTCATCAAAGATGTTACTACGAATCTGGCTCACTTCAATAGAGTGTCTACAAGTACAGATTATCCATTGATTAATCATTTGTGAAAGCAACAATTGTTGGCTTTCTCCAGCTGGTATCTTTTCAAAAACCAGGAATATTTTAAACAAAAGTATTATTTGCCATTTTGTGAAATATCTGTAAGATAGAGAAATACTCCATATATTAAGAGTCGAATTGAAATAACACCCAAGCAATCCTTTAGAAGATGAAATTTGAAGCGACTTTAAAACGAAGATTAGACCTCGCCCTAATTCGGTATGCCCATATCTTGCGCTTAGATGTAAAACCGTTGACTTTAGTTTGTATGAATCTATCCCAGAATATTCCACGTATGAGAAGAGCAATTTCGTGCATTTATATATAACTTTCCAGTTCTCGTCTAAATTTGCCATTTTCTCGACTTCGGACTTCGTGTAAGAAATAAGCCTGCAGGGAGTTTCTTTATCGTTACAAGATGACGTATTACAAGGTTTTAGAACAATGTGACAACCATTATTTATCAATGATGGATTGGATAATGAGCTGCTTGGGAGTATCTCAGAAAAGACATCTGCAGGGAAATGGCAACATGTCATCATATCTACACAAATTTTTAAATTGTCGTTGTCAGTTTTCTTAGTGACGTCGGAACGTTGATACAACGTTTCTTCTCCAGTTTTACATATTTTTCGTTTCCAGATAAAGTTAGCTGTCTGAACGTGTGAAAATACTGAATATGGTTTCCCTCTTACTGCGACGTCCTGGTATGTCAAAGTTCCATACCTACCTTTCTGTACCGGAACTAATGATACCGCCTGTCTCAGATACGCATTAAAGCTAAGAATCGATATTTCAAATTCCTTCTCTGGTGTATATTCCATCCCAGAGCTATGCCATCTTCCTTTTTGTCGTAGTTTGACGTTTGCATATCCCGGGATACATCCTTTTTGTATTTGTACTGAAACAGGCGTTGACAGCTCTCGCACGACTACCATAAAATCAAATTCATCCGGGTTCTTGACTTTAGTATGCTCAAAATAACTTCCAGCATTGACCACTTCCAAAACCGTGAAATTTGGATTGAGGGCTTTAATAGTTGTAGGTATAAAATTTTTTACAATGTGAATTACAAAGCGTTCAATCTCCTTTACTTCATTTTTAGGTATTTGAAATATGCACTGCTGGTCATGAAGATTTTGGATGTATATATCCAAAGACGACATATCTGGAAAGAAAACAATGCAGTTTAAAATTGTATGGAATAACTGGTCTATTGTTACTATTTAAATGCAAATACAGTCTTAAAAGGGCACTAGCTACGAGATATATAAAAATCTTAAATCTGATTGTTTTTGTTCAAATCATTAATGAAAGCGAGATAGTGAAATAATAAATCCCTTTTAACGGCCAGTATGGTTCAATTTTGTCAAAATAAGCTAAGAAACATTGATGATGAATTATTCACTTGCAAGTGAATAATTCGACCTCATTGAATCCGTATTCATGTGAACTTCAATTTAACCCCTTAGCTAGAGATGGATAACTCATGAATCGTGCGTGTTGAGTTATTCAAAGGAAAAGAATGTCAACATTGGAAGTGAAACAAAGATAAATCATTTGATTGACTGATTTGATCCACAAAACATCATTCTTATACAGGTGAAAACGATGATTAAAATATATTTTAATCTATGATATGAAATTAAACAGACCTAGAAAAATCCAATTAATTAGTTAATTAGATGGCGTCTAGACTAAAATACACACGAAACGAAGTTACATATTCTCGAGCCAATGCCCTGTTAATTGTTTATTCTAGACTTTTTTATAATTTGGATCAATGTTTTACATTGTTATAAATCAAATATGAGAATTTGAGTTAAATCGGTGAATAAGAATTTGACAGCTAGTGCCCCTTTAAGACTTTATGTTGACCCCTAGGCTTATTTTTCGGTGGTTATGTATTGAGGGTATTTTAGACAGAATACGAATCCCTTCCAAAAAGTTGTTAGGAGGGTTTTTCATATGACACTCATCCATTATCACGTCCTGATACTAACCTGATGTGGCTGCGTATTTCTACATCCCGTAAAGCCAACATCTCATTTTATAGATGGTTTATGTGACTGCCGGATTTGAAAATTCAGGGATGACTATGTTGATATACCCTTTTCTCTAATTCTATGGCAATTTAAACCTTTCCTAACCTATTGTATAAAAAAATTTAATCAACGTGTGGTTGCCGGTGATCTCAGATGATGATTGGATGAGTTTAAGGGTCATAACCTTGTCAGCTCATTGGATGTATCCAAATATGCTAACAGGTGTTAATGAAATTGACAACTTTGTGGAATGTGGAAGGCACTCGAAGGGGCCTTTCGTTTAACAAAAAAATGAAAATTTAATTTTTAATCATTAGAGAAACAGATTAATACATAGTTACTCATGCATTCTCGGATTTTTCCAATCTCGATAATTAAATAATATTTTAAAGTCCTCGCCGAGGCTCGGACTTTAAAATTGATAATTTAACTATCTCGATTGGATAAATCTGATAATCCACTGGTATCAATGTAAGAATCTATTACAGCCGAATGCATTGAGTGTGTAGGTAAAGGTAGAATCTTTGGTTAGCTTGCTAGTTAGCTGAACCGTGAAGTCATTATTAGGTTAGGTATACTACCCTCCTTTTGGAATAGTCTAGTCCTACAAACTGATAGATTGGTTATCTGTCGGACTAGTCTACTCTTAAAGGAGGGTAGTTTACCTAACCTAATAATGACTTCACGGTTCAGCTAGCAAGCAAGCTAACCAAAGATATTACCTTTACCTACACACTCAATGCATTCTGCTGTAATGGTTAAAATAATTACACTGTGTATCATCGCCACCGGAAATTGGGTACTAACGAAGCGGAGAGAAATGGAAAAAAAAAGTAAACAAGGTAAGAATTCATTCAATTTAAAGCATTTCTACTGATTTGACGAGGGTACCGCTTAAGAAATGATTTTCTGATATATAATTCTTTAAATTATTAGGTCGATAAGTACAAAATTAAGACAATATTTTGTGTTATACTCCAAAGCTTGCCACTTAGTACCTGAAAATTTTGAGGTCGATTGTCCTCTGTCGCCCCATTGGCAAGATATTCAACTGTTTTTCATTATTTTTCCAGACACGTTTTTAGATTATGATAGTGTGACATCATATTGACTGAAATCTGTTGTCATAAAGATGTTTTTTAAAGAATATGGACCAAAACATTGTTTGTTTATTGTACGGCGAATTGCAGGACGTTGTACGGCGAATTGCAAAATAACAACTTTTGTCTGTACGGCGTCTTGCAATATATTGTAATATAAAGATGAAATTAATAACTGTTTAGATAATATCAAGTGACGAAATTTTGGCTGTATCAAAGCTTTACCGGCTTACAAATATACAAAATAAACTACTTATCAAATATTATAAAATATATGCCGTTAATTTCGTTCAGAAGTCGTCGTTGCGTACCTCTATTTGACTTTGTGTTTTTAAAGACAAAAAGGTTTTTTCAACCATATTATCCTAAATACATTCATATATCGTTATAATACTAACGACTGTTGTCTTATTTGTTGTCAGGGTGAAATTTTATAAGTTCAATAAAAAAAAAACCGACCATTCAACTTTTGTTGGTGCTGTTTTTTTTTAAATATAAACAGTGGAGATGTTGTTTGATTGCAAATAAGATAACTATCCACAAGGGTCAAATAAAGTGTATGTAAGCAATTATATGCTATCGTTTGGCCTTCAACAACGAAAAATCGTACCTTACAGTCGGCTATAAAAAGCCCCGACATGAAAATTGTGGAAGGATTCAACAAGAAAACTAACGGCCTAACTCATAACAAAACAATTTACGAAAAATAACAAATATGATAGAGATGAACCAACGACAACCACCAAATTACAGGCTCGTGGCTTCGGACAGACACATAAAGAATGTGCCGGGTTAAAAAGTTATAGGAAGATGTGGTATGAGTGCCAATGAGACAACTCTCCATCCAAGTCACAATTTATAAAAGTAAACCATTATAGGTCAAGGTACGGTCTTCAACATTGTTTATTGTTTATTTTTTAAATTTCTGAAATGAATAATTTGTTAAAAGAAAAGTGAAGAAAATACTTTGTTTTCATTGAAAATTAGGAGAAATAAATCATGAATTGTGTTTCGAATTAATTTTCTTGTTTCTTATTGAAAATAAGATAGTATTTTTTGTTAATTTAAGTAAATTTAATCAATCTTTTTTATTTACAGGGAACAAAATAATAAAAGACTGTTGCTAAGGCTGTTTGGCCTAAACTTAAATGAGTAGATGGAGGGGTAGTGAAAAGGAGTGTATTCGTCCGAATTTTCATTGTTACAGTAGTACATTTTCATGATTACTATGTATAATATTTCTCAGTAAATTTTAATGTGATATTGTGCCAATTAAAATTATATAATTAATACAAGTAAGACTTGCATTTGCCTTAAAAGATATAGCAGTACGTGATTATTTGTTTTCAAACACACCTTCTCTTTTTTGAAACTTATAAAGGTATGGATCTCGGCCTATCTGTTTGGTTGAATATAAATGTTGTGAATTGATAGAGTTTCAAAATCAACAGTAAGCCCTATTTTTGTGTGTGTGTAAATAATCTAATCTTTAGATAGATGCTAAAATTAAAAATCATTTTTCTTAATAAGAAGAAAAAAGTGCAACTTAAGCACGCCTGAATGTAAAAAGGTGTACCCGACTTATTCGTTCACGATAAGAATTTACCGAGTTCGGTATTTTAACAAAACTGTTTACGAGGGCAAATAAATAAATGAACGCTATCAAAAATCAACATTTAAATTTACGTGGATTTTTCCAAAAGAATTTATGAGTATGCACCATCAGGATTCAAAATTATTTCAACCTGTCCTTATTAGATGTTATTTCATTATAATTCTTTAAACTTACAAGTCGAAGATGCTAGCTTTTGTGAATTGTATTAATAAGTATATATATAATATTAAGATGACAACCAAAAAAAACTTCATACAAGGTCATCTTTATTCTCAAGTAGAAAGCTTATCTAAATAGTTTATGCCGTAGCCACAGCCGGATTTGTATCCCTTGTATCGGATTCTTCTTTCATTCTTTCCAAAAATGATTAATCTAAGGTTAATATTTTTTTTTTAAATTTAAACAGTGTTAGCCACCGAGCTTGTTCATTTCTTACTATATAGAGATGAAGTTTTTTTTTTAGAAAATTAATGTTCTTTATTCTAATATATTGGCTGTATCTGCCTTTTACAAATAAGACAATAACATTAATTGAAAAAGGAGACGTGGAATGGTTTTCACTGAGAGGACTTTCAAACAAAGTCCAAATGAAATAGATTTGACCAACTATTGGTTACATTTAACGCTACGTCAGGGCAGAACAACAAGTCAGTAAACAGTGACATGCCTTTCCGAAAGTTACAACATTTGCCAGCTTTTGTATATGCCGTATTCATATTGTATATATCAGGTATGTAAAAGATGTAATAGGACTGTGTTCAAGCCTTATATTGTGTATACATCTTAAATGGTGTCAAGCGAATTGTATTTTTATCAAATGCATAATTAGATATTTGAACCTAATACTTTATTTTCTTTAAAAAGACGGCAAATAAATATTTTGAAATTAGCAAGTTGCCATACAGTTGAAAACAAGTTGCCATACAGTAAATTTGTCAACATGAGCAAGTTGCCGTACCCTAGACTTTACTTTTTTATGGTCTATATTCTTTAAAAACGTTCATTTTGACAACAAATTTCAGTAAATATGATGCCACACTATAATAATCTAAAAAAGTGTCTGTAAAAATAATGAAAATCAGTTGAATATCTTGCCAATGGGGCGACAGAGGACGATCGACCTCGAAATTTTCAGGTACTAAGTGGCAAGTTCTTGAGTATAACACAAAATCTTGTCTTAATTTTGTACTTGTCGGCCTAATAATTTAAAGAATTATATATCAGAAAATCATTTCTTAAGCGGTACCCTCGTCAAATCAGTAGAAATGCTTTAAATTGAATGAATTCTTACCTTGTTTACTTTTTTTTCCATTTCTCTCCGCTTCGTTAGTACCCAATTTCCGGTGGCGATGATACACAGTGAATTATGTATACTAAACATTAATAAATCGGTCGATCCAACATTAATGCATATATCTGATAGCAGAATCTATTAATTGAAATAATTGCATATTTTATAGCTAATTTAACAAAGAACTTTGTCTGGATGTCTAAATAGACAGGCAGACTAATTCCTTTAGATCGATCCCATATACTTTGTTTGTAAACATGGTAAAGGGGAATAACATTCGTCCTCGGTAGAACAATAAACATTTCTTTAACCGACATCTATTTAAAATGTTGATTATCTGCGTGTGCCTAATTCAATGCATGTCGTGGACAGATACCATTTTCATAGTTGTGAAATATAGAAATGTTCAAAGTAATTATAATTCGAAATATGATCTTTACTTGCCTGTCCTAACTGCAATCAGTGTAAACAAACAATTTCTGGTGCAAGCCTCAAACACTGTGTTATTGCCCCAAAGCACGTCACCCCTGGTATTCTTGATTTCCAGTATTTCGTTTATTTATGACTTTTTTACCTTGAACTGTTGAAGTTATGCGTGTTTTGTTTCAAGTTTACACTGATCTACACAACGCTTTAAATAGACATACATTCATAAGTAAATCAATGAGAAATCTTTCAGGTGTAACGAACTTACAAATATACATACTTAATGTGTGAAACCGAAAGTAACTTGTAACATATACATATATATAGTGCGTGGTCATTTTCTTTATCATATGTATGCGAGTGTTAATCTTTTCAAATAAGGAATTTTGGGAATATACGTATATAATAACTTAATATTGAAAATTGCTCTAGCTCATTGATGTATTTGTCACATTTACATATAAAATGTAATTCATTTTCTTTTTATTTTTTTCACATTAAAACAAATTCTATCTTCTGCAGATATATTTCATATCTTCTAGTTTTTATACGACCGCAAAAAAAATTTTGTGGTCGTATATTGGTATGACGTTGGCGTCGTCGTCGTCGTCGTCGTCGTCCGAAGACGCATTAGTTTTCGCACTCTAACTTTAGTTTAAGTGAATGGATCTCTATGAAATTTTACCATAAGGTTCAATACCACAAAAGGAAGGTGGGGATTGATTTTGGGGGTTATGGTACCAACAGTTAAGGAATTAGGGGCCAAAAAGGGGCCAAAAATAAGCATTTTCTAGTTTCCAGACAATAACTGTGGAACGGTGTATGGATCTCTCTGAAATTATACTACAAGTTTCCATACCACAAAGGGGTGGTTAGGATTTGCTTTGGGGGGTTATGGCTCAAACCGTTTAAGAATTAGGGGCAAAAAAGGGGGAAAAACAAGGTTGTCCTGGTTAATGGACAAATACTTAAGTACAAAACATAATTTAAAGCAGTGTAATGGAGATAAATCAAATACATCATTGAAATTATCTCCCTTACACTGCTTTTAAATTATGTATAAAGTAATGGTTAATAAATCAAATCAAATCAAATCAAATATTTTATTGTCTTATAAACTTTACAGTTTGTGACCAACATGTATTAACACAATAAACATATATACATACATATCAAACAAACACAATAAAAACAGCATCAAAATTTATAAAAACAAACAAGTTGTTAAGAGTCCCCTGCCCTCAGTTCTAATGACTTTTTCAAGAAGGATCCTAACTTATTTGTTTGTAAAGGCGTTGATGGATTTAGTAAATAATGAATTTTTTCTTCTTCATTTAAATTATTAAAGTTATTATTTTCAGTACATATGTGTTCAAAAAAGGCATTTCTTAGTGTTTTATTATAATCACAATAGAGTAAAAAATGTTTCTCATCCTCTAGTATTTTACATTTATGACAAAGTCGTTCCTCTCTTGGGATTTTAAAATATCTCCCCTTTTCAATTAAGAGGGAGTGATCACTTAGTCTAAATTTAGTGATCAATCTCCTTATCTGAAAATTAGATATATTTAGATAAGATTCTAATTTGCAATCCTTTTTAAGTTTTTTATATAGATAAAATTTACTTTTATCATCAATGTTTTCAAATTTAGTTTCAATTAAATCTTCATATCTATTTTTCATTTTTAACTTTATATCGTTTTTTATTTTATTTACATCTTTTATGTCCTTACAATTAGAAAAAATATTAAGGTCAATATTAGTCTCTTCAACAATATTCTTTGCATATGTATACCATGAATAAGTTCCAGTCAAATCTAGAGACTGTGCTAGAGAAAAAGCTTCCTTTATCAATGGATTAATATTATTATTATATAGTCTAGCTAAATATAAAAGGGTTTGTGTTTTAATAAAACATTCTATAGGCAATCTTCCTAATTCAACTCTTGCCCCTAAATTGGATGCATTTTTTCTTATTCCTAGAGTAGATTTACAAAATTTAAGATGCATATTTTCAATAGGGGTTTTGTCTGTAAAATCAAGTTGATTAATTTGTTTTCCTGAAGATAAGGCTCTGTTTTTGGCTCTATGAAAAGAAATATATGTATCCAAATATGTTACTTCTGAATTATAGGTCATAATTGGTTTTACTAAAGAATCAAAAAGGTTATTTGCTACTTTTATAGGTAGATTATTCAATGATTTAGTATAGGATTTTATTGCAAAAAATACTTTTTTTGCCTTTTTTGTCAGCTCTAAGGTACTTTGTGATAAATTTCCATTACATTTTATCAACATTCCCAAAAATGAATATTCTGATACGCTCTCTATGGCTTCATTCTCATTGTAAATATGTGATGTTTCACCATTTTGTTTGGACTGACTGAAAATCATGGATTTTGTTTTGTTTGTATTTAAAGAGAGTTGCCATTTGTTGCAATATAATTTGACATTATTTAAACTGTTTTGAAGACCCTCTTTTGATTCTGACAGGATCAAAAGATCATCTGCAAAAAGGAGGCATCCCACCTTACTATTTATAAGCTTAAGGGGACTTGAATCATTTCCCTCAAAATTTTTTACAATATCATTAATGAAGACATTAAATAAAGTGGGGCTGAGGGTGTCTCCTTGTTTAACCCCTCTAGCAATATTAAAAAAAAATTCTGATACATAATCTTTGTATTTCAAAGATGATTTAGTATTTAAGTATTGTTGTTTTATAACTCTGTAAAAAGACCTGCCAACTCCCATTTTGCATAATTTATAAAGTAAAGCAGTTCTCCATACTGAATCAAAAGCCTTTTTCAGATCTATAAAGCAGGCATAAATCTTTTTTTTCTCTTTATGTAGATATTTATTAATCAAGGACTTCAATAAAAAGATGCTATCAGCTGTTCTGTGATTTTCTCTGAAACCAAACTGACAATCACTTAATTGTTTGTCAACAATCTTGATAAGCCTATTATTCAATATGGCATTAAAAAGTTTTGGTAGATTACTTATAAGAGAAATTCCTCTATAATTATTAGGGTCTAACTTGTCACCTTTTTTATGTAAAGGGATCATGAAAGATAATTTCCATGAATCTGGATAATTACCTGTCTTTAAAATCAAATTAAAAACTTTTACAATAGAATTAATTATCACAGGTTGTGAATGTTTGAGTATTTCATTCACAATTCTATCTGGACCTGCTGATTTGTTTACTTTAAGGTTTGAAATGACCAGTTTTACCTCAGCAAATGTAATTGGTGCATCAGTTTCCATATTCAATTCAATATTATCCTCTAGAATGTTTAATTCACGTTCCAATTTATTTACAAAGGGTTTATCATATGATGTTGGTGTACCCTGATCCTGAAAATGAACAATTAAGATAATTTAAAACAGTGTAAGGGAGGTAATCCAAATACAACGTTTTGGTTACTTCCCTTACACTGCTTTTAAATTATGTTTAAAGAAATGCATATTTATAAAGGAAGACCAGTAAAAATATCTGCAAGTGTTGCATCTTTTTTTTTTACAACAAAATCCATATGAAAGATTTGACACTATATTTTAAATTCTATTATAAAATAGATTAAGTTAGCACTATGGTAAATTTAAATGGTTGCAAACTCCATTGGAAATTTGAATTGAGATTATGACCATATCTTGAGGGAAAGAATTTTTTTGGGGAAAAAAAGGGGGGGGGGTTTAAAGAAATTGTGGGGAGTCAATTTTTTCTCATTTCAGATTTCAGAAATTAAAAAGAATTATTCTTCAAATATTATTTTTTTTTCAAATTTCAAATATTGAAAAATTTCAAGAAGTAATCTTTAATTGGACAGTATGGCACATTAGATTTGTAAAATCTTTGACCACATTTATTTATTTGTTATGCTGAATCTAACCGTGTATTTAAATTTTTAATTTTGGGTCCAGTTTTCAAATTGGTCTACATTAAGGTCCAAAGGGTCCAAAATTAAACTTTGTTTGATTTTAACAAAAATTGAATATATGGGGTTCTTTGATATGCTGAATCTAAACATGTATTTAGATTTTTGATTTTTGGCCCAGTTTTCAAGTTGGTCCAAATTGGGGTCCAAAATTAAACTTTGTTTGATTTCAACAAAAATTGAATATATGGGGTTCTTTGATATGCTGAATCTAACCATGTATTTAGATTTTTTATTTGTGGACCCCGCTATCAAATTGGTTCATATTGAGGTCAAAAGGGTTCAAAATTAAACTTTGTTTGATTTCAACAAAAATTGAATATATGGGGTTCTTTGATATGCTGAATCTAACCATGTATTTAGATTTTTGATTTTTGGGCCCTGTTATCAACTTTGTCCACATTGAGGTCAAAAGGGTCCAAAATTAAACTTAGTTTGATTTTAACAAAAATTGAATTCTTGGGGTTCTTTGATATGCTGAATCTAAACATGTGTTTAGATTTTTGATATTGGGCCCAGTTTTCAAGTTGGTCCAAGTTGGGGTCCAAAATTAAACTTTGTTTGATTTCAACAAAAATTGAATATATGGGGTTCTTTGATATGCTGAATCTAAACATGTATTTAGATTTTAGATTTTTGGCCCAGTTTTCAAGTTTTCCAAATTGGGGTCCAAAATTAAACTTTGTTTGATTTCAACAAAAATTGAATATATGGGGTTCTTTGATATGCTGAATCTAATCATGTATTTAGATTTTTTATTTGTGGGCCCGCTATCAAATTGGTTCATATTGAGGTCAAAAGGGTCCAAAATTAAACTTTTTGTTTGATTTCATCAAAAATTGAATTATTGGGGTTCTTTGATATGCCAAATCTAACCGCGTTTTTAGATTTTTAATTTTGGGTCCCATTTTTAAATTGGTCTACATCAAGGTCCAAAGGGTCCAAAATTAAACTTAGTTTGATTTTAACAAAAATTGAATTCTTGGGGTTCTTTGATATGCTGAATCTAAACATGTGTTTAGATTTTTGATTATGGGACCAGTTTTCAAGTTTGTCCAAATTGGGGTCCAAAATTAAACTTTGTTTGATTTCAACAAAAATTGAATATATGGGGTTCTTTGATGTGCTGAATCTAACCATGTATTTTGATTTTGGACATTGGACCATAATAGGTAAATTAAAAAAATTGAAGTTCTTAGACCACATTCTTTCTGTGTCAGAAACCTATGCTGTGTCAAATATTTAATCACAATCCAAATTCAGAGCTGTATCAAGCCTGAATGTTGTGTCCATACTTGCCACA